AAGGTAGCTCATCTTGCTTTTTCTCGTGAAAGAACCCATTCGATTCGGGCATCTCCACCTAAAACGCCCCTCTACATAAGGGAAAGGTTTTTATACTTCTTCTATTCCCTTACCATCTAGCTGTCCAATTTTGATCAAGAGAATCACTCAACATTTGATCTTAGATCTGATGTCTCCAAGTATTTTATTTTTATATTTTTTATACAAATTTTATGAAATATGAAATTTGGTATGGTCATCTTCTCATTGGGACACACTTATAAAAAATATTAAAAATAATTTTTTGATAAAATATAATGATTAAAATACCCCTTGAAACTTTTAGGGGTATTTTGGTTATTTATTTTATTGAAAATATATTTTTTATATGTTTTGCCGCTGCGAGTTTAATAGAGGATTGGACGTCCAAATTTTGGTATCAAAATAGTTTATAGAATAAAATTTAAAAATAAAATAATGTAGAGATGTGACATTTTGATTGGGACAATCTTAACCTTCTACTCAAAATGGACAGTTGGATAAAAGAAAATATATAAGTTTTATGCTGTAGATGAAGGATAAAAAGCTTCCCCTTTTCATAATGCTCAAATGACCTTCGATTTTGTTCTTTATTTTTTTGTTTCCCTTGAATTGCATGGTATCAAGTAAAAAATGGTGATTTCATTCGATAAGGATCTGTCATACTAATTATGCAATACTTCTTTACACTTTCTCCATTAGGTTGGGTTTCTATTCCGTGACGTTCATCTTTTGACTTAAAAAGTTTTCCTTATTCAATTACGTCCTTACGCTTGTCAAAATACAAGTTGATTACTTAGCCCGAAAAAAAGTTTATATAAGGTTGCAACTTTAAAATGTAGAATTATAGATGCATCTCAAAAATCCATTAAGAAGGTTGTTTTAATGTTGAAGAACTCTCTAATTGATTATCTAGACATTGAGACGTATGAATATGAAAAAATGAATAGATGTTGATTCTCATAAATATTGCATCTTGTAACACATTATCTAGACCATTCATTTTCAAAATTTTCATATGTTTATAGATCTATTTGATTTTAACTATTTTTTGAGTTTAAACTTTTATAATTAAATATAAAAATAGATTTTTCAAATAATCTTAAGAATTTTTTAGATCAGAATTACATGTTATAATAAAATTTGGAGGTGCGCCTTAATAGGATTGTTTAAGGTCGCAACCTTATAGAAACCACACCCCTTAGTTGTTTCATCATCTTCATGCCTTTTTTCTAACTATTTAAGATTGGGTGGGCTACAACAATCTTGATCTACTATTGACGATACGTCTTCGTATCTTTTCTCACTACTTCTAACGAAGTAATTAATTGTTTTTGAAAGAAAATCATTTTCTTATATCTAACAATTAAATGTCATTAGTTGTTTTGAAAGAGAATCATTTTGCTATATCTAACAATTACATGTCATTAGTTGTTTTTGAAAGAGAATCATTTTCCTACATCTAACAATTAAACGTCATTTGTAAAAAATCAAATGAACACTCAAAAGAACCAGATTTCTTCCCTCAATCTCTCTCGCTCTCTCTCTCTCACATAAATCATCTAATAATAACGGAAAGTCCTTTTAGATTGGTATATCCAGGGGCATGCAAAGAATTAGCGTTTTCTAGCAATGGGATATAAAAGGGATTTTCAGTTTTGAGGAGAGCTAAAATAAGCACAAATACGACATTTTCGTGTTAGCTGCCTTGAACGGTACCATTTTTACCGGCTCGCCCCGCTTATTTATTCCCTCCCTCCCTACCTCCATGCTTCACTGCAACTGCTCTCTCTTCTCTCTGCGTCGTCTCGTCTCGTCTTTGGTTGTGAGAAATAAGGATGGGTGAGAAAAGCAAGATATTGTTTATCGGAGCCACTGGGTACATCGGACGGTTCATAGTGCAGGCGAGTGCGAAGGCAGGCCATCCGACGTTCGCTTTGGTGAGAGAAAAGACGGTTTCTGATCCTGCTAAGGCTCCCATTATCCAATCCTTCACTTCTGCTGGCGTCACCCTTCTTCATGTAACTTGAATCGCTCTTTTCTTCAATGGATTCTTTTCTTTCTCTTATGCCTGCCAATTGCCCGGCCAACCTGTTCTTAAAAAATTACGGGCCTGGGACGCAAACTGTGGCCCGAGGGTTGGGTTAGGGCTGGCCTGACCTGGTTCAGCCTCCGGCCCTCTTTTTCTCTTGTTTTTTCCTTTTTATTTTTTTCATTTATTTTTATCCGCTCCCTCGGCACTAATAGGGCCGGGGCAGGTCCTGTGGGGGACAGAGGCCATGGACCCTTACCATCTCTAATCGTTGGAAAGTGGGGCATTACAGTCATTTTTTCTTGAGTTACCTGGGCAAGTTTCTTTTCCTTTTGCAATAACAATTTTGGGAAGCACACTGTGGAGATAAATAGCGCTCCTTCCTGTTTGTATTTGTATGGTCAGGGAACGAAAAAGAAAATATATATATATATATATATATATATCATTTTTCAAAAAAAAAAGTTTATGCAAGGACCCTATTTTAAAAAGGGTGCGGTTTGTATAGAGCATAGGCTCTAAACAATCAAATTAGAGCTTACTTTCAAATAGTGTCAAAAAATGTGGTTTCAATATTGCAAATCTTTGTGATAGCCTTAAAATTTATTTTTATTTTTATTTATAAAGTTTAAAAATTCAAAAATAGTGTAGATCGATAGATCTATGAAAACTTGAAAATTGAGGGTCCAAAAATGTGTTACAAAATGCCCTATTTCCAAAACTTGAAATCCATTTTTTTTTTTTCATGTCTGTACATCTTGATGTGAGATGATCTATTTGAGGATATTTGTGTATCAAAACAACCTCTCTTAGTGAAAATTTTGAGGTATGCTCAAATTTAGAGTATCGGCTCTATATAAACTTTTCCTTTTTAAAAATATACAATTAAAGTGCACCTCTAAAATCCATCATAAAAAGTTTTGTTTTGATGTTGAAACACTTTTAAATTGATTATCTCTACATTGAAATGAATGAGTATGAACAAAAAAAAAAAAAGATTTCATAGTCCCGAAAAACAATGTATCTTGCAACACATTATCTCTACCATCCATTTTCAAGATTTATTTATAAATCTAATTGTTTTGAACCATTTTTGGTAGTTATAATTTTATAGTTATAGATAAAGAATAAATTCTCAAACCATCCTAAAAATTTAGAGGTGGGCCTTAATTGGATTGTTTAAGGTTGCAACCTTATATAGATTTCTCTATAATGAGGGACATAATGGTCATCTTTCCAGAGTGTGCGGACGCGTAAATGGTGGGTTATTTCATGGGCCTCCACACGGAATACGATCGTTTCTTCCAAAAATAAAAAATAAAAAATAAAAAAATGGGGGTTGCAGTTTGTATAGAGCCTAGGCTCCAAACAATCAAATTAGAGCCTACTTTCAAATAGTATAAAAAAATGTGATTTTAATATTAAAAATCATTGTGATAGACTTAAAACATATTTTTATATTTATATATAAAGTTTAAAGCTTAAAAATCAGTGTAGATTGACAGATCTATAAAAACTTGCGAATCTTGAAAATTAATGGTCCAAAAATGTATTACAAAAACACTATTTGTAAAACTTGAAATCCATTTTTTTCTCATGTTCATGCATCTTGATGTCGAGATGATCAATTTGAAGATGTTTGGACATCAAAATAACCTCTTCTACTAAAATTTTTGAAGTAGGTTCAAATTTGATTGTTTAGAGCCTAGGCTCTATATAAACTCTTTTAAAAAATGCGAGATATGGATTTTTATAGTGTATCTAGAGGGACAAATTGGTAACTTATTTTGTGGCGAGGAAGAGTAGAGAAGTCGCCATCTTCTTGTACGGGAAGAGCAGTCCATGTTAGGGGCATAATAGTTATTTTGGGGATGGGAATTGCAAAAGGATAATAGTGTAAAATGTGGTGTGTTGCAGGGTGATCTTTACGACCATGAGAGCCTTGTGAAGGCCATAAAGCAGGTGGATGTTGTGATCTCAACCGTTGGTCATGCTCAACTGGCGGACCAGGATAAGCTCATTGCCGCCATCAAAGAAGCAGGAAATGTTAAGGTTAGGAAGTTTATAAATATTAATAATCTGAATAAAAAATGTAGCTGCTCATAAATAAGTAGTTTTCTTGTAAATTTGAATTTTATTTTGTCTATAATTCTAGTTTATTTTTTGTGTAAATGAATCATTGTTTGAACGAAGCACGTGAGACCATAATGTAATTCTTGTTCATTTTGGTTTTTTTTTGGGAGGGATTTTATATTGAGACTATTTATTTTTATTACAAAACTATCACAATTATTTTTAATCATTATAATTTGAGAATGCCATGTGGCCTTTGTGGTTGTATCGGAGAGGTGAGGTTTCTGACTCTAATTTCACTAAAGGGTAGGGCTCAAATCTCCACTGACTTATCAATTTTTTTAAAAAACTGAGCTTGGGCCTTTTAGGAACTAAGCTTGGGCTAGTGCTTGACAATTTACAATACTGCATCTTAGGCTTAAATCCTACAAAGGTACTTAGCTTGGGCCTTTTAGAAACTGAACAATACGGAGCTTGGGCCTTTTAGGAACTGAGCAGTACTGAGCTTGGGCCTTTTAGGATTTGAACTTGGGCTAGTGCTTGACAATTTACAACACTGCATCCACGGCTCAAATGAGCTTGGGCCTTTTAGGAACTGAGCTTGGGCTAGTGCTTGACAATTTGCAACATTGAATCCTAGGATCATGGCCCTCTCCCCACTTACTCATCCAAAAAAAAAAAGTGTTACAATATTCAAGATATCTTTTTTAGACATTGTGCCTTAAAGCTTCCATGGGTTATAGAAAGGGAAATGACTAATATTCTGTTGTTCATTAGGTATATTTTCTATAGAAGCCAACTTAGAACATTTTTAGCAGCAAATCACATACACATCGTTGGTTCAAATGAATTTGGAACTTCATGGTTTTTTTTCTTATTATATGCTTGCTCAAACACACTGGTTTTCTTTTGATTTTCGCCAGAATATTATATGCTTCTGCAGAAGCATTTCGTCCATTCACTCCTTCAGGTAAAATCCTACTCGCAATATTTTTAGGAAAAAGTTTATATAGAGCTTAGGCTCTATACAATCAAATTAAGACGCACCTCAAAAATTTCATTAGAAGAGGTTGATTTGATACCCAAATATCCTCAAATTGATCATCTCGACATCAAGATGCACGGACACAAGAAACAAATGGATTTCAAGTTTTGGAAATAATGCATCTTCTAATGCATTTTTGGGCCGTCAATTTTTATGATTTTCAAGATTTTCAAGTTTTCATAGATTTGCTCAATTTACCCTATTTTTTTAGCTTTAGATTTATAATTAGAGATGAAAATATATTTTAAGGCTATCACAAAGATTTCTTGTATTGAAACCACATTTCTCGATACTATTTGAAGGTGCACTCTACTTTAATTGTTTAGATCCTCGGCTCTATACAAACCGCACCCATATTTTTAAGACCCCAAATTTTGGGATATAACATTCTAGTAAACAACCTTAAAAAAGAAAAGAAAAGAAAACACAGAGAAAAAAAAAACAACAGTGCAATCTATATGCGTAAGCAAATGACATCCTACAATTGAATAAAGACTGTCCAATTTTTTGAAAAGTCAAAAACCAAGTGGTTATGAACTCAAATTCCTTTTCTCTTTTCCTTATAAATACTAATATTTTTATTCAGTGGTGGATCCCAAAATTTTATACCGAACAGACTTTTGCGTAATCCAATGGGAGTATGCTATACGGGCTTTCATTTCTTTCTATGTTTATCGGACATGCACACACAAGCACGCCACTAAGCATACATGCATGACACACATTTGTGTCTGCATGCATGTTGCACCAGTATGTATGTCTTGATATCAATCAATGCATATAGCACATATACATTTCAATGCACACGTATATACGACCGCATGTATGCCAATTACTATCGATTATGGTACAGGTGTGTGTTTGAGCCTATGTGCATGTATATGTACAGTTAGCCTTATGGACTTGATATTGTGGTGGATATGTACAGTTAGCCTTATGGACTTGATATTGTGGTGTTATGCAGAAGTTTTTCCCTTCCGAGTTTGGAAATGATGTCGATAGAGTTCATGCAGTTGAGCCTGCAAAGTCTGCTTTTGAAACAAAAGCTAAGATTCGTCGTGCCATTGAAGCCGCAGGCATTCCTTATACTTATGTATCTTCCAACTTTTTTGCTGGTTATTTCCTTCCCACCCTAGCACAACCTGGAGTTACCTCTCCTCCAAGGGATAAGGTTGTCATCCTTGGAGATGGAAACCCTAAAGGTTTGGTTCCACAGTCCTTGTTTATTTTTTGCTTGTGCATGTGAAAACTTGTGTTTGTATATAATAGGTCTTAATGCTCTGATCTAGCTTGTGTTAATCCTTTTCATACGGTTGTTGCAATGATATTTTGTGCATGAACTTGTGATAATGCGTATTCAGGTGTGTCGTTTTAGAAGTTAAGAAAGAACGACCATTTTTTTTCTATTTGACAAAGTAATTTGTCATTAGGGTCCTCTAGAACAGCAGATTAACTAACATCATCATCATCTGAGCTTTATCCCTGCTATTTCAATTGATAGAATATTTAATTGACTACATTGAAACCAGATTACCTAGTGATAATGAATAAAAAAGAACTCTGGTGTTTCAACACGGTCATTTAAATATTTTATCAATTGAAAGGACTAGCAAGAAAAACAAATGCAAACATATGTTATTCTCTCCCCATTTTTCCTTCAAACACTTATATTTTGGCTACTATTTTGTTCAAGAGTGCTAAAGCGGGGGCCGACTTGTTATATGCAACCATATTTATAGCAGACAATGTTTTATGCTATATTTCCATAAATACAAGAGATGATTTCTCCATGCTGAAAATAAATTTTTTTTTTTGGCTGTCAATCATTTTGTTGTCCCTTTGGCCTTTGGTTTCTGATCTGCATATTAATGTGGCTGTACATATGAAGTTAACACTTTCTAACTTCTTATGGCCAGCTATATTTGTTAAGGAAGATGACATTGGCACCTACACCATCAAAGCTGTGGATGACCCAAGAACATTGAACAAGATCTTGTATCTCAGACCCCCTGGCAACATATACTCCTTCAATGAGCTTGTGGCACTTTGGGAGAAGAAGATTGGAAAGACCATTGAGAAGACCTATGTTCCAGAGGACCAAGTCCTCAAGAACATTGAAGGTGAGTGATTAGATTAGTAATTACACCTCCAATCTACAAATTTTTCAATAGTTATTTAAATGTTTGATGGATTTCAACCCCATTTTCCATTGTACCCTCTTTAAATGTTAAGAAAGGATGACACTCGAGATTTGAACAAAACTTTTGCTTTCTACGCCTTTAATTCGTTTTGCTTGCAATGGCAGTGCCAGCGCAAGTGAATGACAGCTAGTCAACGTGTTCACATGGCTGACAGCTATTTGAACCAGATATCAGCTATTATAGACCAATATCACTAAAATTTGTCAATTTTTTGTTGCCTTTTTTCTTTTTTCCATGGGTCTTGCAGATTTCATGGTGATTCATCATATGTGGCTGTTTAGTGAGTAGAGTCCTATGTTTTAACGGCACTACATCGTGTTCTCTTTTGCATGTGCTGTAGAGTCCCTTTTCTAACGTATTTTTGTTTTGTTGCCTCAATCGAACTGATTCAGATTGATGTTCCCTTTTCAGTAGTTTACCAGTTTTTGGCTGGGCCTCCATGATATGATTGATAAATATATTGCCCCATATATAGCATTTAGCAACCAAATTTAATGGAAGTTTCAACCAAAAGTATTATCAAAACACAAAGCAATGGTTAAGGACCACTCATCAATGTTTTGAACTTGCTACAATTCTTATCCAGAGTCAATCAGGTAACAGAACGTCCCAATTGAAATCACACCAATTGGAGAGTTGCCACTAATTATGCTTTCTAGGAAGCTCATTCACAGTTTTGAGCTTCCGATAAAACTTACTCATTTGGTTGGCTTTTATTTACTTTGGTATTTCTGCAGAGACTCCCTTTCCTGTAAAGATTGTGATTGCTATCGGGCATTCAGTCTTCGTGAAGGGTGACCATACCAACTTCGAGATTGAGGAGTCTTTTGGGGTAGAAGCCTCCAAGCTCTATCCAGATGTGAACAACACCACTGTGGATGAGTACCTTAACCAGTTTGTCTGAACCCCTTTTGCTTTTCTTTGTTCTCACTTCATAAAATAATAATACAGAAGGGGAGGTCGATTGTGTTATTTCTATCAGGTTGCTTTAAGAGAATTAGAAAGAAACAGAGCTCTTCTATGTTGGACCACTGTTTCATGTGTCGTGTATGTATCCTTGTTGAGAAATTCAGCTGGTAAGTTGCACGTCTCTTTGGAGTTCTCATTGAGATAATTTGCTAGAAGTGAACCGACTGTCCTCCAGCAGATTAATGCTTTCATTGCTTTGATTCAGATACCTGAACATCTATATTTTTTGGGTGTTGGGGCACTGCTTTCTAAATATGATTCAGAAGATTGGGTGTTTGATGGTTTTATGCACTACTCGAAAATTCTTCTTTCTTTTTTTTGATCAAATCGTTACTTGAAATCCTCAAAAGTTATTTGGAGCCAAGCTCTTGATGGCTTAATGACTCTCACTAATCAAATGAGATAAGGAAATGTATACAATGAGATCACTTACTTTTTGATATAAGGAGGTTAAAATCATTATTGACTGTTAGATTTGATTCGGGTAGTTGAGTAGATGCCATATTTGGACAGTCTAAAATAAAAATTTTCGAATATTATGACACTTTTATCTATTAGATTTCACATTCAATGGTTAAAAATAATCGTTGACCTCCTTGTACCAAAAATTAATAGTCTTATAGTATACAATCTCATAAGATAATCTTTTATCTCGCAACTTCCATTAATTTGGGCAAGAAACTATTCGAGCACTCTCTCTCAAGAAATCTTACTCTCCCCACATGCCAATGCTCAAAGTAGTGCAGAAATACCTCCAATCCAACCCATGCATATATGCAGACGACAAACATGTTTGTGTATGGTTCTATGTAGTTTTATGTTTTCGAATCCTTATCTTGCACCCTGGTTTGCTTTCAAAGTAAAGTCATCAATCAAATTTTTATGTGAGGATAACATTCACATTGTTTATGTCGATGTAAAAGAAGTTAGGTACACATTATTTTCCATCTCTCTCTCTCTCTATATATATATATATATATATATATATATATATATATAATAATATAGTAGGTAGTATAGTACTACTATAGTACGTACTTCGTTCTCTACTTAGTTAGTTAAGGTTAGGTTAAGTTTAAGGTTAAGGGTTGGTTGGTT